TATCCAGCGCTCAAAAGAACTTGCAGGGAAAAATAGTGGAACAGCGCATGCACAGGCAGTGTGCACCGCTCAAAAGCGGACCCAGGCCCCCAGAGCTGCACTGCAGCTGCCAGCCAGGCTCCAAGAAGCAGAATCACCACTGGCGACAAGGTGCGCCGCCGTTATTTGTCCCCAGAGAATCAAACATCCACACTCATCTGGATGTACCCAGGGGAACTTTCCTTGGTTAAGAATTGTCAGGCTGGGTAAAAGACAACTGTAGCTCTTATACTGAGTCTTAAGTTGGTTGCAAATGAAGTTAGGCAAAATAAAATGTTTCTCTTCGAATTCTTCCAATGCTAATTTTCTGCAGCATTGATTTTGAAGTTCTTTACTCTTTTTTTGTTCTTAATGTAATAGTTGAAGTAGCTCCATCTAATGATGAGTTACAACATTACAGTACATATTCTTGCCTTTGGTTAAATCTACTTTTCTCTGAAATAAAAAATAAATACGCCTAAACCTAATTTTAAAATAGTCTGTAATTGCTTTTTCTTTTACTCAAAGTCAAACATTTTGAATATCTACTCTTTTTTTTTAGAATTTCAAAGCATAAGCTATGTCTACTTCCCTGCTTTGTGCTGTGGTGTTCTGAAAGTTTTTAGAAAAGAGGAAACTAGAATATTATGTAATTTGTTTAATTCTACTAGGTTTTAATACAAAGCTATGTTAAAAAAACTTTTTTGATTTAATTTTTTAAAAGTACGCCATTTGTGTTTGCACAGAGTAAAATAAACTTGAGTACACAAGCTGCCAATTAAAGAAGTCTAATACTGAAAGACGTTAAATGCCTAGATAGAAAGGAATTTATAATTTGTTTTTATTAATGACATGATAGAGCTCTTGCACAATCTATTACTCTTTTTATGGGAGAAAGGAGACAAAGTAGTAATAATTAAGATTTGATATAGCATCGCCTTGGCAATTTTCCAGCTTTCCGGGTAGTGAAATAGCATGTGAGGTTGTAAGCAAAGTAGAAAAAACAGGAGGGGAGATGCTAAATAATATAAAATACACACATTTATTGCTTTTACATAAATTGCTTTGGCTCATTTTAAAGAACTAATAGTTATCCATATGACTGAATTCCCTATGCTTACACATCTGACAATATAAAACATTATGTAAGTAGGACTCATTGCAGATAAAGAGTTGAGTCAATGTACTAGTGATAGTCAGAGAATCACTGATTAGCAGTATGTGGCGTCAAGAAAAAAAATTGTGATTTTTCTACAATCAAGCTTGATGCTTATTATGGCCCCAGTCCCATTACAGAAATTTTAATATAGCACACCCACTCAATGATTCAAAAGCCAATGCAAACAAAGAGAGGAAGATGGTGACAAAATTGGTTAAACCCTGGCAAAAAAATAAGTTATTTTCGTAAGATCAAAAAGATATGGGGACGAGGGTTTGACCAAAGCAGTAAAGTCAAGCAAACCACAAAAACTTTGGAGTTTTAAAGGCTTGAGCTATAATCTTAGCAATCTTAGCATCTTACTTTTGGAAGAACCTTTGAAATGACTTGTTTGATCAAATTATTTTATTGGTGGTGGTGTTATAAACTTGTAGTGTGAGAGCAGATTGAGTGCTATTATCAGTGAACTTGATCCTATGATTTACTGAGCATCCTTTTAGTATTCATAGACTTAAGTAGCCTCATTTTCCTATGCTTGTCGGATTCAATTTTGATTAGTATAATGTAGTAAATTTAACCTTACCATTATGGTTTCTCTGGATTAGTCTACAGACAAATGTATTTTGAGAGGAGTTGACTTCTTGTTGGAAGACAATGGGAACAGAGGGTGCTCAGCATAAGGCCCTTCTAATAACCTCCAGAGAGAGTATCTTGTAAAACAAGTTGACTGATGCTATCAATAGTCGTGATGACTCAATGGCATTAAAACCAAACAGAACTGAATGTGAAAGAGGAGAACAACAAAGTAATGAGAGCATTCAATAATTTGTACTGGAATACAAGTAAAGAACATGGGTTATGGTGCTACATTATTTATAATCATTAGTGAAGGCACTTTTCATATTGTGAAATGTATTTTGTACAATGTGGTCTAAAAATGTCTTGCTGTTGCGTTTGCAGAACATTTCCAGGTCCCACGGAAGATTTTTACAAAATACTAACACAGAAATGTGATAGTTATAAGGATTAAAGCTACTTTAAGCCTAGACTACATGTATAGTTGATTGCTAACAACAACAAAAAATGGCAGTAAAAGCAGACAAATGATTATTAATGTAGGGAAAGGCTTTTCAAAGTATTTTTCATTATGTGTAGGTGGAAGGCAGTGGATCAGAAAAATGACTCAATTAATTCTCAGGCTTTCTACATATACTACTAAAAAGTACCTTTTCAATATGATGCTTAAGAAAGAAAAACATTACGTATTGTGGTATTCTATTCAATTAGGGTATTTTATTCATCATGTCCATCAAAAGACGTCAAGGAAGGTCATCTAGAAAAATCAAGATTCCTGATGTGTCGTTATCTGCACAATAACCCAGTTGCAGAATAAACACAGCTTGTTTTACATAAGTTTGAGAGAGGAAGCATGGTCTACAGGGGCGAGCAAAATGTTCCGCAAGGGATTTTATCCAGCCCATAGCAGGTCCCTCAGTCCCAACTGGCCCAGGCACAGGAGGCAGCCCGGGCCATGGGATATGGTGCTGGTTTCACCGCCCCAGGCATAAAGCGGGGCTGGGGCGATACAGTACCAGACTCTGCTTCCCAGCAGCCCCGGCAGCCCCCCAGCCTCTTTCTGGCTGCCCCTGCCTATGTTCCCACCGCTGCCAGAGCTGGCCCTGCTGCCCGAGCACCCTAGCCTGTCCACCGTGCACCTACTGCCAGGGATGCCAGAAAGAGCAGGCATGCAGGATCTGCATAGAGACTGGCCCAAGACCAGGCAGGTGGACAGGATGGGGCTGCAGGCAGGCAGGGAGTGGTGCCTGGGAATGGGCAGGAGGGAGCTGGGATCATGGCATGGTGACAGTGCGGGGCCATGCTAAGAGTGGATCATGGTTCTGCCCCAGGCCCTGGCCCCATGCTGTCACTGCCCTGCAATCCTGGCCCCTGCCCTGGCCTCGGCCCCACCTGCCAGTCCTGCTCCTAGACACTGCTCCCCGCCTGCCCACAGTCCCAAGCTATCCACCCAGCTGAGCACCCTGCTCGCGGAGGTCCTGAGCCAGTCTCCATAAAGACCCCTCCCACCTGCCTGCTCCATCCAGCGTCCCTGGATACTGGTCTAGTAGTCTACCACTTAGGTAGTTTTGGTGAGTTGTTGTGGGGGGCAGACTGGGCCACAACAGCTAACCCAAGCTCCTTAAGCGGTCCTCCATCCCAAATCATTGCCCGCCCCAACTCTATTGGGAAGCACTGGACTGGGATTCTGGGAACCTGGATTCTATTCTTTACTTCTCCATTTACTTCTCCCTACATGTTTTTAAAAATGAAATGTTAAATATAAAGTATGGAATAAAATAGTTTAACAAGGGCAAGGATGATTTGAGTTACGCTGAGTGCAGAAAATATATTTAACTAGCTTTTTTTTAAATCACTCTGGATTCATTTGACAATCAGTAGAAAAAATGAAATTATAGTGAAAAAGTGTAACACATGATGGAAATACAAATGAATTACTTTGCATATATTTTGCATACTTCATTTCCCCACTCTGAAGGCTCCTAAATCAGGAAGAGACAAAAACATATTTTTAGATGGTTAATTGAATTGGAGGAAAACATTTGATGGGGCAGGTTTTTATAACAGACTATGGTTTTATATTTACAATATCAATTCAGACATTGCTCAGTCCACAGTGATCAAATGTTGAAGTCTGATGGTTGTTCAGTCCTTGAGTGAAATGATGTGTTTACGATCTACCTTTTATTACATTTTGTACAGCCGATATTGACCCTACTATTCAGGAACTGGGAAATGAATCCTTTGCTATTTCAAGGTGTTGCAACACCCCGGAGTTGCTTACTATCTAAACTAGAAAGACTCGGAAGAAGCCTGCTAAACTGGGGAGCCTAGAGGAGGGACACTTTTAATATATGCTGTTATTCACTCAGTGCTTGCAAGGACTGTTTTTTTTTCTGAGAAAAATCAGTCGTGTTGAAAAAACACCATCACTGTGTATTGGCATATTAGGAAAGACTTAAGACAACACCTCCAAACAGTAAGTCTTCGTTTCCCAGTTGCTACACCTGTTACTCCCATCACAATCCCAGTGCTCGAAAAATGATTTTGCAAGTGCTTTTTGTGCCGTCATTTAAAAACCCCAGACTAGTAAAGTGGGAGTCGTGTAACCCTGATAGTCCAGGAAATATGAGTGGCAAGATTATACGCACGTGTACATGAAGGATGGGTGTGTGTACAAATGTGTATATATGTACGTACGTGCTTATATATACATGTGTAGGGTGCTATCACAATAAACACGCATACGCGCGGCCCCATAAAGTCTATGCCCGGTGCCGTTACTTATGGCCCCGAGCGGGGCCAGATGCTAAGGCAAGTTTGGGGGGCCCTAAATGCTTCTCTCCCCACTGGACTGCAGGAGAGGCGGTGGCGCCCCGAGGCCTG